AGATAGAGTATTCACTGCTGTACCGACATTCCGCATGTCACACTGTGTCTCCTTCCACCTCGCCACCTTAATCAACTCGGAAGGCTTCTTTTTTCGACAGCTATAGGCACTTTCTTCTGGTGCAAAAATGCCCCGCTACCTGTCGCAGAAGATAGAGAGCCCCTAGATTAGCCAGCACAGTTTGTCTCGGTATCTTGTGGTCTTCCGCTTGACCACGCTCCGCGTCTACAGCAGAGTATAGTCGTGTGCCTTCCCTTAAAGATCGGTCACAAGAGCGTCTGGCCAGACGGCGACCGAGCAGCGCCGGCATGCCACGACTTAGTATGTCAGCAGATACTCCGAACCATGCCAGGCTCGCGTTTGACGCGGGAAGATGAACTGACGACCCTTGCAGGGCGAGCCCTGGCAAACGCGCGAGCCTTGGCAAAGTTGAGGTGGTTGTCACTTCAAATGCTGTATCTGCTACAACACCTGTCGGCGTAGAGGCATGCACGATGTGGGTGAGGAACAAGAGAGTCGTTGCCGCACGTAGTCCGGAATGCGCAGAACATAGACTTCCAAAGTGCACAATCGTGAATTTTGTTGTCTTCAAGTTCTCGGGGCCGGAGAAAGCTTGCTTGGCCACAACGTCAGGAGGGTCATGTGTGCCAGTAGCGCTCTTGAATTTGCCATGTCCAGATCGCTGCGTTGACACATCCCTAATATGTTGGTTGTGGCGTTCCTAATTTGCTCGAGAGTATACACACAAAATCGTTACTAACCTGATGGTACGGCTTATTTGTAATGTCCTCGATGGCTTCTCGTGCTTCATCGTCGGCCTTGGCCGCTTGTTCTGCCTGTAGCATATCACTACGATTTTCTGTTCTAGTATTTCTGCGGTCGTGCTCCTCTTGTTCGCTGTCCCTGTTCACGACGCTGGCTACGACTGGAACCGTCTCTTGCTCCGTTATTGTACCGCCCTGGTTGTCGACTCCGAGGTCGCCCCAAATAGAGACTTTGTTTGTTAGGAAAGGGTTTTCGTTTGGTGACTCCTGCGGGCCCCATACAACTCGGCGACAGCGTCCTCGTTATTCCTGGAATTTGGTGAGGTGATAGAGGACGTTCTACTAGTAGGATGCTATGGCAAGGGCCCGGGTGACAAGCTCGAGACGCTGCGTAACATCTGCGATCGATGGCCAACTAGTTTGCCAGACAGGTCGATGGTCACTGGCGCCGTCGAGTGCAAATCCTTTTGAATTGGGGACGGACAAGTTGGTCCGCATTTAGGCGTCTAGTGGATTGCCCGTGGGCGTCGATATGAATGTGAAGGACCACAGGTGCTGGATAAGAAGCTCTACCGGCGACCGATGAGCCATTGTTGCAATGTCGTCTTGTCGAGTGTAACAGCTGAGCTGCTAAAAATGTGAATTCTTTGGATCACAAGGTGCATGGAACACATGTGTACTATAGCCAGGGTTGGTCCACTAAAGTTCGAAGTAGTCGTGGTGTTCACTAATAGTGCAGCAATGCAATTAGCTAACTTCCCAATCCTTGAATTCTATCGGAAGTGATCAAGCATAACTCGGTAATTGCCATTCTACAGAGTTGTGTAAGTTAATGCAATATGCACGTGGCATGCTACCTAAAAGAAGACCAGACTCCTCACTTCTATACTTTCACGCGCTTCGCGGATGTGTTCAGTACCCGGTTCCTCGACAGAGACGTGTGCCGCACCCATAAAGCCATCCTCTTCTCTACTATCGTACATCTTAAATACCAATGCTTCGTGCGTCTCCTGAGCTTGCAGGTACCACCACTTGTGGCTGGTATTCCACCTGAGCAGGAACACTTCCCAGTCGCCACCGAAGGTATCCGGCGCAGGCAATGGCTGAGCGAGACGATCATCGTTGCATATCGTCCGTGCGTCGATCAATGCCAATGGATCGCGTCGGACTGGCTTAAGAGGTTTCCACACATTCATGATGGCAAATGGAACTCCGCCCCATTGGGCAAGTTCCACTTCACTTAAATCTTCCTCCTTCATACGATGGGCATTCTTCGGGGTGTCGTCAACGTGGACAATTCTTGCCGGTCCATGGATGTCGGCTGTCGTGTTGTCTGGTGGCGCCGCCAGTGAATCGGCCTCTGTCTGGTAGCGGAGAGTATGATCGTACGGGCGGACAAACTTGGCTCCGGCGACCTTTTTGAGCAGAGCCACAACCTCGGGGTAGAAGGTCTGCTTCACTGTCTCTGGATCGTGAAAGTTGGTGCACTTTGTATGTAGAGTTGACACTTGGAACCCTTGATCTTGCAGACTAAAGTCGTCCTCTTTGCCACGCATGGACGACACTTTGACCCTTGGTCGCTCATAGTCCGCCTCAGGCCGGGACCGGTATGCAAGTTTGCGCTCGTGAAAAGAGAGCTTCGGATTCACGACATCTTTGTCTGTCGTCGCTGTTTGGCTAAGATATTTGATCTGGGTAGAAATTGTACTCATCTTGTCGTCCGTCTCCTTCTTACTCAACAGCTTGGAAGCAATTCACGAATAGTCCTTGTTAAGTAGTTCCTTGGCAGAAGAACTTGCACGGTGCCTCGATCGATATCGATGGTATAACACTAGCGCCATCATGATTCTAGACCACCCCAACGCCGAGAAAGACTCCTCCATAAATTATATGCATCTTACGAATAATGACTCATGCCGATAGTGGGTCAGTTCTGCTTGACATGGCTGTAAAGCTACCATGAAAGTTGCGGCAAATTAGCTCGAAAAGAATTGTTTCTCGTTATAACGAGTTCGAAACGGGTCCAAGGCTCCAGGCCTTCATATACGCTTATTTACGTATTTCTTCGTGCATCTTTTACATGAGCAATCACAAGCCTCTCTACGCTATCACTATATATGTCGTAAATCAGAGCTTTACTGATAGTCCGTTGGCCGCTCGGTCTAAGTACATACCCTCAAGAATAACATGCCACTGCAAATTAGGTCTAAGCTCAATCGAGTCAGAGCTCAGGGAAGAGGAAGTCGAATACACAAGTGTTACTAAGTTCTTAGGATCTTGGCAACTCCGAAAATAGAGATTGAACAGTGACGTTTACGCTATCTCCTCAATGTACGGAAGATCTATGTCCCATAGTGAGCCTCAAGGTGAGTGTCAAGTGACTCCCGCCTCCGAAGCACACGTCTGGTGAATTGATCGGCGCTGCTCACTGGGTAGGACGTATTCAGAGAGCGCTAGAATAATTGGGATCTAACGCGAGCTCTCGCTTTCTCTCCATCTCTAACCCTCAGTTGTTGATTAGGTATCGCGCGGTAACGAGGGAGGGAGAGCACTTTTCGTCCTCCGCAATGTAACCCATCGACGTCACAAAGCGCCATGCAGGCCACGATTCAAGGAGTCTGCCCTTATTAGCGACTGGATAGCGTTGTTCTCGCGGAAGGCCGCAAAATATTGACTAATAAGTTTCCTTCCCCGCCCCCCCCCCCCCCCCCCCCCCCCCCCCCCCCC